TCTTCTATATATATTATCTATATATGTATTATATACATATACAAAATTATAACTTGAAGTTCTCATTATGTAGGCCTAAGAGAATTTCTTGAGAACTTAAGTGGAGGATGGAGTTCTTCCTCTATTTATAGATGAAGATAAATCCATGAAAAACCTTCAAGAGTCAATGTGGATTCATGTCTTTACCCTCCAACTCATGTACTCCAAATGTTTTAGAGGAAAGTGAAAATTTTTACTTTCCCACAAATCTCAATTTAGAAAATATTATTGTATTTTATATACATACATGTATTTAATTTTTATGACAATTCATGCAAATGATGTTTTATTAATCAATATGAGTAATACTAGATAGACTTAAAAGTAGACTTGATAATCTCAACCATTGAATAGGTAGTGAGTTCCAATAAATGCTGGGACCTATAGTGAAATCAATGGTTGAGATTATCAAGTCTAATTTTTAAGTTCATATAGCATTACTCAATCAATATATCTCTATTAATAAATAACTATATATATATATATATATATATATATATATATATTTACCTATATAACAATTACATTATTTTTTTTATCTGTTTTAAATACCGCGTGAATATTCCGAGTTTACATTGTGGTCACGAGATGTGTCACACATAATTAGGATGGCTCAAGGTTCTCTGTTCAGCAGCAATGCTTGTTATTGTTAACAAGCGATTTGTGTTTCTCAGTAGGCCATGTTCTCGTGAAAGATACTTCGTCGCTGTTTACTCGGCTATAGTGTAGACAAGTTTGAAAGTGGATGCTTACCAATTACATAGGTGCTGACATTCTCTCCCATTCACCAGTCTCTTTCATGCTCTAAAAAAATATTCTGTCCCAGAGAAGAAAGAGGTCTTAGTTTGAAGTCAACGGAATAAAAAGCTACAAATGAAAAGGAGATCAAAAAGTTTATTTGAAAAGAAAAAGATGACAAGAAAGAGTGGTACTACTAAGAGATTGCAACATGATAAATGAGATTGAGTAGTGACTTCTCAGCACTACTTCAAATCGAGATTTATCTTCAACAACTTAGTTTTCAGTTCAAAGTTTATCACAATCTTGAGTTGTGCTTAAACCCTCTTGTGCTCAGCTTGATTAGGTTCATTTGCACCTTTAAAATGGACCATTACTCCTAATTATAAAGAATGAACTAGGAAGATTTTTCAGTTGGTAATAGTCAAATTCTCTCTCTCTCTCTCTCTTGGTAGCCAACAATCTACCAAAAATGGGATATTGTGAAGATATGGTGTGTGCCAGAAGTTGAATGGCAAGGTAACAGCAACAATTATGAACATACATAGGTTCAAAAGTCAGAAAAAAGGCAAAAAAAAAAGAATCTTTCCTTCTCCCATGTCACGCTTTGTAAGGTTGGTCCTCCTGTTTTATGCCCACCACTGGACTCTGTAGACCTATGACAAAAAGAGTCGTGAACTCACTTCTCAGCTTCCTTATGTTCATCTTGCCCACAACTAAACACCTAAACTTCAAAACATTTGTTCTTAGAAGTGTTCCACTACATCACTGCATGTGGTCTTGAAAATATGATCTTATCTTATACCAGTTTTGTGCACCTCGACTAGTCAACTCCCCAATCTAATCAAAGACATGTCATTTACGTCAGAATTAGAATATTCATAAGGGATAAATCTCTCAAGACCTAATCTCGAGGTATTGCTAAGATTTAAATTCAGGACGTCTGAATTTACAGTTTGTCACTATTACCATTTGAACTAGTTAAGGTTAGAGAACACAAAATTCAACTCTAAAGAGCAGCCATTTTCATTGAAGGTTAAGTGTATTTTGAGTCCCCCTTCCAAACATCTTGGTTGGAGGTGACTGGTACCGTTTTATATGCAAATTTGGGTCAAGAATAAATTCTCAAATTGGATCCAGATTTCCAGAGATTTATAATATGGATAGCATAGCACTACAGTACCCAAAAAAATTGTATAAAATAATTATTTTTAATGGTAAAGTAATATTTTTTAAAGATTAAATTACAATTAATTTAAATTATTCATGATCGATCATAAATAACACTAAGATTGAACTCGAGCTACACAATTAGGATTGAAGTCGTGTTCAATTCGGACTTGATTCACACGATCATCATTAAATTTGGATTGAATTCGAGTTTAATTTTTGAATAACATAAGTTAGATTGAAATCATATTCGATTCCGACTAAACCGAACTTCACTAGTACCTGTTAGATTCGGATTGGTCCCAAAACACAAGATCTCAACTCAAGTGCTATTCAAATTGTGATTGAGGTTGAGTGTGTTTTTGTTCGAGTGTCAACAATTATGAAAAAAAATTTATTTTTTATTTTATCCTTAATTATTATAATAAAGTCAATTATACACACTTATATAATTTCATCTAATTTATATTTTTTACACCTATTTAACTTTCAACTTGTTTTAAACTTTTTTATAAAGATTTCTAAATTTTTTTAAATTCATTTATTAATAGTATAATGTAAATACAATTTTATATATATATATATATATATATATATATATATATATATATATATATAAAAGAAAAGTCCTATATATATTAAATTATTATACATATGTAGTTATTAGGTTATATTCCACGATTCAATATTTGTTATATTTTATTTTTTAGTATTCAATAATATTATAGGTGATCTAATCAATCTATTTAACAAATAAAAATTAATAATTTTATATTATAATTAGATGTGCAAATGCCTAAAGTAGTCGGAGAGATACCTAAATAAATGACAAAATAAGTACTCAAAAACTTATAGAATAAATCAATAATTAAAATACGATTAATTATTCAACACCTAATTTATTATTTAATTTAATTACACATATAATTCATATTTTTTTATAAAAATAATATTATTTAAATTTATTTATGTATAATACACGTCATATATATTGTTAATCACCTTAAAAGTATTATTGATGTATTTAATGGATTAAAAGACCAGTTGCATGGACTTTTTTCACTTGTATTTTTTGATATGATACTTTTTACAGTATACTTTCTAGACACAGAAATGCACCAATATTTAGGTACGGAAATCACGTGCTCTCTTTTCCCAAATGCAACCAGAATTTTCGACGTCGTAGCATACAAATAAAATTATTTTTTGGGACAAAACCATTATAATCAACATAGTTGGTACTTGATTAGGTATTGATATGACATTTTGAAAGGAGAGGGCATCACGAGCCACAAGAAAAATGCTCTATGAACTACTATTTCGAATCAACAACGTTTTCAAGTATGGTTGATCACGTTATCCTATGAATAGAAAATACGATCGTTCGTCTTTTTACTTGATATTTTATGAAAGAATTTTTCTTAATTTTACCCTACTCAATTAAGTGTTGTATTCCTACCTGACTCCGGTAAAATTAATCGGCTAAGAAATTGAGTTCATTCTATAGCAACCCAAAACTCATTTAGCAAGTCCAAATAAAATTCCCCATGCAATTATATCATAATCTTTTTCTTGAAATAGTTTTCCAAGTCTTGTCATTAAACCAAGTCCATAGAGGCTGGCTCCATTTGTAACAAAAACACTATTGAGTGGGAATAAAAGAGCTAACAATTCAAAAATTTATCCCGTAGATGCATGAACTACTCAAAAAGATAAAATTGTTTAGGGTCCAAAAAAAATTGGACTTATCAAAAAGTGCATCTTTAAGATGTTCATTCTAGATAAGTCTCTTAAAGGAGCTTTTCAAAACTATCATATTTGCACTTTTTCGAAAGTAATTTTAATTTCACCTTATTTTCCAAAATTAGCATTAATTTTTGTAATTAAATATTTATTTTAAACCCTACTTCATAGGCAATTTGCATATTTTACATTTTAAGATAGAAAGTTAACAAAAAAAAAAGATATATTTTACTAGAACATGAGTTATAGATAGACATGACTAGTTATAGATAGAGATTGGTTCAAAAGTACTTCTAAAATACATTTTTACCAAAACAGTTATGTATTTGGTATTTCAAAAAATTTATCTCCATTCTTTTTACTCTAAGAAGATATGTCAAACGCTATATAAAAACTAAACTTGTAGTTGAAATCATTGATTTCACTGTGAATCTCATCATTTATTGAGACTCACTACATATTCAATGACTGAGATTATTAAGTTTAATATTTAAATCTAATTTTTAAATCCATTTACGATTACTCTTATTTGTGGTGATGAGTATCTTCCAAGATTTGCTAGTAATTTGAAATTTAATCCAACAAAGAGTCCTAATATAAAGAATGTACAAAAAATCAGGGGACTAAATATATCTATTCTAGTTGATAATTATAACTTCAAACTCAATTACCTTTTTTCCAATTCTGCAGATAGAATCATATGTGCCCCACAAATAGTTTTTGAATCAAAACTTCCTTTGTTTTTTTAAGCTTAATTAATTAATTAATTACTTTAATATGGTGACTTGCATTATTTTTAGGAATAACACTACTGTTGGGAAAAAAATTGAATACCATACCAAAAAAATTCTTAATTGTTGCACTTGATTTGAATTTTTTTATAATCATTAATGATTAAAATAATAAAATAAAATAACTTTTCGATAGCAAATTCTAACACTTTTTTTTAGGAGCAATACTACAAAATTCAAATAAAACTCAAAAATTATAACTCAAATGCATATCATCCTTTAAATGAGTGAATTTCTTCAATTTTTCAATAGAGCTCAGTCATCCCACATTCATTCAAAAAATGATATATATTTAAATTTTAATTTTTGAATTTTATTTGAATTATATAATATTTTCCTTTTTTAGTGGTCCACAGGAAGAATAAGAAAAGTGAATTACTTGTAAGGCAAACCCTTTTATAAAGTAAATACCTATTTTTTTGGTTATTAGCTAAACGACAAAATTGTATTCAATCAGGATTTTACATAAAATAAATATATAAGTAGTGAATATATCTGTTCAATATTCTAAGCACCACCATGGCTTTACCTATGAAGAACTCAGTATTCTGTCTCCTTCTTCTTCTTCCTATTTTGGCTTCATGTGTTGAAAAACAGGTGCTTGAATCTTCATTGGAATCTCTGTACAAACAGTGTGTGTGTGTGTGTTTATGACTGTTGTATTGTGATGTCTTTTGTGACTTTTATAGGTCTATATCGTGTACTTAAGAGAGCATAGTGAAGAGAAAGCATTGCATGAAATTGAAGAAACCCATCATTCTTATCTGTTTTCTGTGAAGAAAACTGAGGAAGAAGCCAGATCTTCTCTTCTTTACAGCTACAAGCACAGCTTCAATGGCTTCGCCGCATTGCTCACCCAACAGGAAGCCTCCAAACTGTCTGGTACACCAAACTGACAACTTTCTCTCTCCTTCTCTCTCTCTCACTCACACACATTATATATATTATGTATGTCTTATATATCAGAGTATTGTTTTTGAGCAGAGATGGATGAAGTGGTATCAGTGTCTCGGAGCAACCCAAAAAAATACTCTTTGCATACTACAAGGTCATGGGAATTCGTAGGCTTAGAAGAGGATACACAGAACAACTTGAAGAAAGATGACTTGTTATTGAAAGCCAAATATGGCAAAGATGTCGTAATTGGCATCTTAGATAGTGGTAATGTCATCCCAGCCTTGCACTATAAACACAATTACATATATTTTTCTAACAGACATGTTTTATTGCTGCTATGTGTCTCGGGTTCAACTTTACCATGAGTCCAAAAGACATGTGATTAGAATGATTTCTGGATTCATGAGTCAAAGGAAATGTGATTGGAATGGTTTTCTGTAACACAAAATGAAAAACAATGTATTGATCGATGGGTTGAGACTAGATGATTAATTTTGATGAGAGTGTATTGTTGATCAGGTGTGTGGCCAGAATCAAAGAGCTTCAGTGATGAAGGGATGGAGCCAATTCCAGAATCATGGAAAGGAATTTGCCAAACTGGACAAGCTTTCACCTTATCGAACTGTAATAAGTGAGCGTTTTTTCTTCTCTCTCTCTTTTAGGTGACATAAAGCTTTCTTATTCTATGGTTGTTTTTCAATCTTGGGAAGGTTAATTGGAGCTATTCAAAATCTCTTGATAGATGACCCACCTGAATTTTGGAAGCTAGTACTGGTTCTTGGGAAAATACTTGTGTCTTTTCAGGTTTTAGCTTCAAAGGCTAATTATGTGCAGTTTGAAGGCAACAATCTCAATAATTTCTCCCAAATAAGTACCTACCGCAGCTCTCTCTCTCTCTCTCTCTCTCTCTCTCTCTGTGGAGGGGAAGGGGTTGGTGGTGGGGGGATGGGGCAGAAGTGATCAACATTATTTGAGATTATCAATATTAACGTGTATTAATTAATACAATCTTTTTTTTTACTATACGTCAACAAAATGAGTCTTTAGAAAACTTATCAAGAGGCAGAACCAAGAAGTCTTGGGATATGTATTATGACCCCAACTCCTAATGGTCTTTCTCCAGGAAAGATGACTACAAAAACTTAATCAACAAACCTTATCCAGTTAGTATAATCCTTGACCTTTTTTAATAGGATGTTAGAGTTAATTCCACCATTTATTCATGTGTTCTCTTTCGATGTTTCCCCTAGTACTCATACTATAGATTTATTGTAAAACAACCCATCACAGTCTATTTTCTCTACTACTTGTAGCGTTACGTACCTTTTTTTTTTCAATTGAGATGTCGGGGTTAATTCTGACCTTTATTCGCGTGTCTCTTCATTTCTGTTTTGATATTGTCCACTTGTAGCCGTAGTATAGATTTATCATACTACTATTCGTCCCTATTTGCCTGATCATCTATTCGTAGTGTAGATTGATTGAATTGTAATCCCGATTCACCTTGAATATATAATACATACATTTATATGGTTGTGTATCTACTTATTCATCTTGGACACTTTCCAAAACATCACAGCAGGCATTTTCAATGAAAGCGCCCATTGGGTCTGCATGCTGTCCTACATTTCTGTCTTTATACACATCGCTTAGTTGGCTTGTTGATGATTCCTAACTTGTCCATTTCGATCGAAACAAATATATAATCTGATCTGCTGTTATTGTTTTGGCTTCTTCCATTGCCATCTTGTGAACTTCTTTCCCCCCCTCCTATGCCTTGTTCCCTGTACTGTCCCCGCCAAGTCTATGTAAAGGTTTTGAGTGACCCAATATTTGATTGCTAAAGGCTACCACATTTCTTTTCGTTTTCATTTTTTTTTTCTTTTGCAGGGAATCTTCTCAACTACTTAACTTTTATTTCATAGTTGTAACAAACAAATATCGGATATATGCAATCACCCTCAAATCATATACATCGGTTAATCCGGGTTTTATGTGATCCTCAAACTCAAAATATGCACATTTAAGTCTCATTTTTTGTTCAATCGCTGAATTAACTTGTGAATTGCTGATTTTAAATGCATTTACTGATGAGGGATTTGGCAAAGGAGAATTAGGTCATCAGCAAAGTTTATAAGCTAATTAGCTGGGAAATATTCCGCATTTACAGTTCGTTGATGATGTTAACAAAGTTCTGTTAATATAGTGGAGGAATTACAAAATATTACAATTTATCATAGTATTTTAAATTAATCTTAAAATATTACAATTTTACGAGTCATTACAACCGTTTAGGGGTTAGTTTCACCCAAACATTTATGACTTCATCTTTAAAAGTTATATTTTGCTTTATGGCACCCTAAATTGCGTTACCAAAAACTTGCTGCACCCTAGACTTGTCCCCTGCCTAACTAGCTCATCAGCCTGTGCCATAATTTCACACACACACATGCCCACCTTTTAATCTCAAGGTTAGTTCAAGTGATAACAGGAGCGATTTAAAAACTCGGTTCTAATTTCGAATCTTGACAATCTCGTAAAACTAAACCATGAAAGATTTATCTCTGATGAATACTTTTGTCTCGATGTCTTTGACCGAATCGGAGAAGAGATTAGTCGAGATGCGCACATAAAGTGGCTCGATAATTTGTTACCTATCATTCTATGCTTTTTAGGAGACTTGCTGCACACAAAGTACTTTAAAAAAACCATAGAACATGACTTTTTTACTCCATAATTGAAAATCCATATACTGTTGGCATTTTTCCAGGAAGTTGATTGGAGCTCGATACTACATTAAAGGTTACGAGGCATATTACGGCCCTTTGAACACCACATTGGATTGTCTATCTCCTCGTGACAAGGATGGCCATGGGACTCACACAACATCAACAGCAGGAGGCGGAAGAGTTCCCAACGTCTCAGCCCTCGGTGGATTTGCATCTGGTACTGCCTCAGGTGGTGCACCACTGGCACGTCTCGCCATTTACAAAGTCTGCTGGGCAATTCCAGGTGCAGGTAAAGAAGACGGGAACACATGCTTTGAGGAAGACATGCTAGCTGCTATCGATGATGCCATTGCTGATGGTGTTCATGTTCTGAGCATTTCCATTGGCACAAAAGATCCTGCTGCTTATGCTGATGATGGTATTGCACAGGGAGCCCTGCATGCTATTAAGAAGAACATTGTTGTGGCTTGTAGCGCTGGGAATGAAGGTCCTGCCCCGTCTACATTATCTAATACAGCTCCATGGATCATCACAGTTGGTGCTAGTAGCGTGGACCGCAAATTTACAGCTCCAGTTGTGCTTGGAAATGACAGGGAAATTGAGGTAAAATAAGAAAAATAATGACAATAATAACAACTTACTTGATCTGTTAATGTCTCTTTGTTGAAATTCATTTGTTCTCCTGCTCAATATCAGGGACAAACAGTAACTCCAGAAAAGCTGGAAAGAAAATTGTACCCCCTTGTTTATGCAGCACAAGTGGTTAACCCTGATGTGCCCAACGATTCTATTGCAGGGTAATCTTTCTCTGTTCAAATTTTATCTTAGGCAAGAATCAAAATTTCATTTTGTTCCTAATAAAACAATTGAAATGTTTCAGCTTCAGTGGATACCCAAAGGAATTGTGATGAAAAATCGATGTTTACTTGTGTTTTGAAAGTTTTGGAATGTCTTAGAATGTTTTCGAATCACAGTTCCAATTTTTCCCTTTGTTCCCAAATATTTCTGCAAAGCTTTCGAAACATTTCCGATATTATAAATCAAAACAAAATTTCAATCCTTGATCCTAGGAAGTCCAGTGATTGTTATAGCCATCTTACCTAATGGCTTCATGAACATTGAAACTTTCAGGCAATGCCTACCAGGCTCTCTTTCACCTGAGAAGGTGAAGGGTAAGATTGTGATGTGCTTGAGAGGAAAGGGAACAAGAGTTGGAAAAGGTGGAGAGGTGAAAAGGGCCGGAGGAGTTGGTTTTATTTTAGGAAACAGCCCTGCAAATGGAGCTGAGATAGCAGTTGATGCGCATGTTCTTCCTGCCACTGCTGTAAATTCAAACAATGCAATTGAAATTCTTCAATACATAAATGCAACTAAGAATCCAACGGCATACATTCACAGGGCGAGTACGGTATTACATGATAAACCAGCACCATCCATGGCTTCCTTCAGCAGCAGGGGTCCGAGTGTGATTTCACCTGAAATCCTTAAGGTAATTAGCAACAAAATTTCATGCATCTACATCAAAAATCTATGGAACTCGTTGATCTGCAGTAGATGATCTAATTTTTTGAGGCTTATTTGACAGCCCGATATCACCGCTCCTGGGCTGAATATATTGGCAGCATGGAGTGAAGTATCATCCCCTACCAAGATGGAAAATGATCAAAGAGTGGTGAAGTATAACATTATCTCAGGAACTTCTATGTCTTGCCCTCATGTGGCTGCTGCAGCTGCACTAATCAAAGCCATACACCCAAGTTGGAGCAGTGCTGCCATAAGATCTGCTCTTGTAACTTCAGGTACACACTTGATCATGAATTATACCATATGAACCAAACATATCCGCTGTATGGACATGAGACATTGCCATGATTGAGTCAACATCGCATAATGATTTGGGATGAAAATTTATGGAAATGAGGGAAATCGGGGAAACAGAACATATTTAATGCCAAATTTCTCGTTCTATTTTCTGAATTGTTGCACGTGTTCTCTATTTAGGGAGATTTAATTACATCCACTTTCTCAATATTCCTCTTAGGATGTACTACCAGATAAGGGGTGACAATATTTGACAGGATCCATCAAATCAACACGAGATTACCACAAAATTATAGAAGATGGGTTAGCTAAACTTGTTGGGATCATAAGAGGGTTGACCCCTTAGACTTGCTTAATCATTGGGCCAGGACAAACCATACTATGCATGACACGAACCCGATATGTACATGAATTATATACGAAACGATCCTTATTAAACACAACTATATATATGAGTCCTGTATGGAAGGCTATCAAAGTTTTCAAGTTATCAAATCACACTTCATGAAAATAGCTTCATGCATGAGGCAGGGTAGATGGACATGTTTGTCGGTGGGATTACATAGTAACAGCCCCTGGTTTTCATTTTGAGAAAAACCTGGAAGTAATGTACCTACAGCTTCATTCCCTATTGATCTACTTCTATGTTAACTGCATTTGTTCATTGTTCTAATGTTTCACATTCACCTTGCAGCCGGACTGACTAACAATATGGGAATGAGGATAACTGATGCATCTGGCAAACCAGCAGATCCCTTCCAATTCGGATCCGGTCATTTCAGACCAACAAAGGCAGCTGATCCTGGACTAGTGTATGATGCCTCATATACCGACTATCTTCTCTTTCTTTGCAGTAGTGGAATCAGAAATATTGACCCTTCCTTCGAATGTCCAAAATATCCTCCTACACAGCACAATCTCAACTATCCATCCCTTGCAATTCCCAAACTCAATGGCACTATGACAGTGGAAAGAACAGTCACAAATGTTGGTGGCAGTAAGAGCGTGTACTTTGCTAGTGTTAAACCACCCTTGGGATTCTCTGTCAAGGTCTCTCCGTCTATACTATCTTTTAACCATGTTGGTGAGAAGAAGAAATTCACCATTACTGTAAAAGCACAAAGTGAAACGGCTAGCAAGATAGGCAAAGATGAGTATGCATTCGGATGGTACACTTGGACTGATGGAATCCACAATGTCCGAAGTCCAATGGCAGTATCATTGGCTTAGTTTTTTTTCTCCTTTCTCTATGTCTTTTTGGTTTTCATAGTTGTTTTTTTACTTGATTATTTCAAAGCAAAGGAGTATAAACAAAGGACGGATTTTTCTAGAGCATCAAATAATTGAAGGTTCATGGGTTAAGATCATAATGTAAAGTACTCGGTGTCTCTTCAAGCATATCTCACACCTCTATTAAGGATAAACGATAAGAAAATTGATATGAAATTCTTAGTAGAGATCAAATATGGCTTTCACATAATCACAAAAATAAATCACATCACAATGTGATCTTTCAGTTGATGAACTTCCCGCAAATAGTCATCAGATGAATTGAGCCAAACAAAGGGATTACCAACCTGCTCAAAATGTTGATGGGTAATGGTGAACTGCATGCTCCCAGAATATTGGCCAAATCCTCAAGTCACTGCAACCACAACCATTCCTATGCTCTCACCCAGTTGAATTTCACTTAAATACATGTTTGCCTATTTGTGTGTAAACCAAGTCTCACTAGCACTTGGGTGTTCAATAGGTTAATTCTCTCCGCCATTTGAATTTCCCTGTAATGATGTTTGCCTATTTGTTTGTAAACCAAGTCTCATTAACACTGTATGGGACACCGAAATTTTCAGCACCTTGGGTATCCGTCCTCACAAAAATAACTACAAATGGCAATTTAAGAACAAAAATTGCATAAGTTGTAGCATGCCATCACAAATAAGCCTCCCAAAAGCTAAGCAATTGTAGACAGTTTTGAAAACGCCATACTTGAATTACTAGTATCCATTGATGCCTCTTAACATTTGCAGAGTTTAAAATATTCATTAATTGCATAGATATTAGTATAGATCTCAGTTAGACAAGATAATAAATCTTTGTATACATATGGGACCAACTCAAAAGAGCATAAGTGTTTCTGTAAACAATGAGAAATGGCTGACAATACATACAAATTGAACAAGATTGAGTGCCTCTTCTGCCAAGAGCTAGTATATATTCTATTCCATTTTTGTTAGAGTATGTGTGGCTCATATTTGCTATGTGCATAATGGCAAGGAGGCAGATGCCGGAGCGGAGCCCGCGACGGCATCTGCCTTGCGGGATTTGTATAAAGGAGACGCTGATTAGTTGGGGGTGCGGAGGCAACGCCCCCGCGGTACGGTACAGGGGTATTTTTGTAAATACGTCCGTATTAGGGTTATATAAATACTTAAGATGTAACCCTACTTTGAATAATGAAAAAGAACGGCCGCTCGCTCTCGTGGATGTAGGCACATTGCCGAACCACGTAAATCTCTGTGTGTTATTTTCTCCTGCTTTCTTAATTGTTTGATTCCTTATTATTCACCATAATTGCTGCACGATCACAACAACTGGTATCAGAGCTAGACTACGATGTCTGAGATTTCCTCTACAAAATTCGACATCATGAAGTTCGACGGAACTGGGAATTTTGGATTATGGCAGAGGAGGGTGAAGGACCTGTTAGTGCAGCAGGGCATGGTGAAGGCATTATACGGAAAACAACTGGCAGGAATGGACGACATGGATTGGAAAGAATTGGAAGTGAAGGCTGTGGCGACTATTAGGCTTTGTCTGGTTGATGAAGTGATGTATCACGTCATGGATGAGGAATCACCGGCGGAAGTTTGGTTGAAACTGGAAAGTCGGTATATGTCCAAGTCGTTGACGAACAAGCTTTATCTTAAGCAGAAACTATATGGTCTTAAGATGTCAGAGGGCTCGGATTTGACCCAACACATCAACGTGTTCAATCAGATCATCAGCGATCTGAAGCGAGTTGATGTGAAGTTCGAAGACGAAGACAAGGTGCTGATGTTGCTGAATTCCCTACCGGCGTCTCCTACGTACGAGAATTTGGTTACGACTCTGATGTGGGGGAAAGAAACCCTCGAATTGGAGGATGTCACAGGTGCTCTGTTAGGTTTTCATCAGCGGAAGAAAGCCAGTGATGAGGCTTCACAAGGTGAAGGGCTTGTGGTGAAAGGTAACCAGGAACGTGGAAGAAGCAAATCTCAGAATGGATCGGATAACAATAAAGCCCGGTCCAAGTCGAGGAAGAAGAAGAAGGACGTCTACGTCTCGTATTACAAGTGCGGGAAAAAGGGGCACTTTAAACGGGACTGTCCAGAGAAAAAGAAAGGGGATTCAGAGGACAAAGAGGGTGCATCAAAGTCTGCAAACGTAGTGGAAGAAGAAGATTCAGAGAGTGGTGACGGTGATATGCTTTCTGTTTTATCTAGTTCAGATCGTTTAACAGATTCTTGGATTATGGATTCAGCATGTTCCTATTACATGACACCCAATAAAGATTGGTTTGACACCTACAGGTCAGTAAATTCTGGTTCTGTTCTGATGGGTAATGATGCATCTTGCAAAGTTGTTGGAATAGGAAATATTAGAATTAAGATGTTTGATGGTATGGTTAGAACGTTGTGTGATGTTAGACATATACCGGATCTAAGGAAGAATTTGATTTCATTGAGCACTTTGGATTGTAATGGTTATAGTTACAAATTTATAAGTGGAGTAATGAAAGTGAGTAAAGGCATGCTGACAGTGATGAAGGGACAGAAAGTAGTAGGAAACATTTACAGACTGCTGGGTACTACAATTGTAGGTGGAGTTGCTGCTGTAGAGTCTGAATCAGATAATACAGTCTTGTGGCATATGCGGCTGGGTCATATGAGTGAGCGTGGGATGATAGAACTTCATAAGAAAAATCTATTGAAAGGTGTCAAGACATGCAAGCTCAATTTTTGTAAATATTGTGTTCTTGAAAAACAGAATAGGGTGCAGTTCAAGACAGCCACACACAAGACAGAGGGGATTCTCGACTATGTCCATACAGATGTTTGGGGACCAGTTAGCGTAGTATCACGGGGAGGATACATGTATTTCGTGAGTTTCATTGATGATTACTCACGAAAGGTCTGGGTGTACTTCATGCGACACAAGTCAGAAGCGTTTGCCAAGTTCAAGCTGTGGAAAGCTGAAGTAGAGAACCAGACAGGGAGGAATATTAAATGCCTCAGGTCAGACAATGGTACTGAGTACACAGATTCAAAGTTCCAGGAGTTGTGTGAGCAGCATGGGATCAAGAGACACTTCACAGTCCGCAAGACACCACAACAAAATGGTGTAGCGGAAAGGATGAACAGAACGATAGCCGAGAAAGCTCGGTGTCTCAGGTTGAATGCAGGGCTTGCAAAGAATTTCTGGGCAGAGGCAGTGAATATGGCATGTTTCTTGATTAACAGATCACCGAGGGCAGCACTAGATGGGAAAGTATCAGAGGAGGTGTGGACAGGCAGTGAGGTAGACTACTCTGGTTTGAGAGTGTTTGGATGTCCAGCCTATGTACATGTTTCTAGTGAGGAGAGGTCGAAGCTTGATGCGAAGTCTAGACAGTGTATCTTTCTGGGATATCAGAAAGGAGTGAAAGGCTTCAAGCTCTGGGATCCGAAGGCAAACAAGATGGTGATCAGTAGAGATGTGATTTTTGATGAAAAAGCCATGTTGCAGCGTACTCAGGAAGAAGAGAAACAAGTACCAGAAAACTGTAGCACTAATGACCATGTGGTGCAGGTGGAGCTAGAGAATCATGGTAGAGAAGAGGATGCTCAGCATGTAGAGCGTTCTATCTCAGGTGATCAACAGCATCATAGTATAGCCACAGACAGGCCCAAACGCAATATCAAGCCACCTACCAGGTATGGTTTTGAAGATTTGGTTTTTTATGCGCTTATTACTAGTAGCAGGGATCCTACAACTTTTCAGGAGGCAGTACAAAGCCAAGAGAAAAGTAGATGGATGGGTGCTATGGTGGAGGAGATGAAGTCTCTGCATAAGAACCAGACATGGGAGTTGGCAGAACTTCCCGAGGGGAAGAGAGCAATAGGGTGCAAATGGGTGTATAAGAAGAAAGAAGCAGTATCAGAAAAAGAGGGAGAAAAATTCAAGGCTCGTCTAGTAGCAAAGGGTTACTCACAGAGAAAAGGGGTTGACTATGATGAGATCTTCTCCCCCGTGGTTAGACACACTTCCATCAGGACAGTGTTGGCACTAGTAGCACATTCAGATATGCAGTTGGAGCAGATGGATGTAAAGACAGTTTTTCTTCATGGCAACTTGGAGGAACGGATTTACATGGTACAGCCAGAAGGGTTCAGTCTCCCTAGAGAGGAACATTTGGTCTGTAATTTGAAGAAATCACTTTATGGGCTGAAGCAGTCTCCGAGGCAATGGTACAAATGATTTGACTCTTACATGATCCGAATTGGCTACAAAAGGTGTGAGTATGATTGTTGTGTCTATGTAAAAAGGCTTGATGATGATTCATTTATTTTTCTGTTACTTTATGTGGATGATATGTTGATTGCTGCCAAGAGTATGAGTGAGGTCAACAAGTTAAAGACTTTGTTGAGTAGAGAATTTGACATGAAGGATTTGGGTGCGGCCAAGAAGATTCTTGGGATGGAGATTCGCAGGGACAGAGCTTCCAAGAGATTATGGCTTTCTCAGCATAGCTATGTTGAGAAGGTGTTGGACAGGTTCAACATGAGTTATGCAAAATCAGTAAGTACACCTTTGGTGAATCATTTCAGATTGTCTACTGCTCAATGCCCGAAGACAGATGATGAAGTTCATGACATGTCAAAGGTCCCATATGCTAGTGCAGTGGGGTGTTTGATGTATGCTATGGTTTGTACAAGACCAGATTTGGCACAAGTTGTCAGCGTGGTTAGCAAGTTTCTTTCAAATTCGGGTCGACAACATTGGGATGCAGTCAAGTGAATTTTCAAATATTTGAGGGGGCACTACAGACTATGGCATCATGTTTAGCAGACAACAGAGTGACCCTTCAGTTATGGGATATGTGGATGCAGACTATGCAGGGGACTTGGATGACAGGATGTCTACCACAGGTTATGTGTTTACTCTTGTGGGAGGACCTATTTGTTGGAAGTCCATGGTACAGCCTATAATTGCACTATTTACTACTGAGTCAGAGTATATGGTAGTAGCTGAGACTGCCAAAGAGGCTTTGTGGATTACAGGTCTAGTCAAGGAGCTGGGTGCCCAGCAAGGTGGAGTTCAATTGAATTGTGACAGTCAA